AGGAACTGGTGCAATTGGCGGCGGCGGAATAGCTAAGCCTGGTGGCGGAATCTGAAACACAAGACGGTACTAGCTGATTATACAGCATTTAGCACTGGACCTGGAACAATTTCGAAAACCACAATCAATGGCGAAAGGTAGCTGTAGATGAAAAAGTACGATCTTGAGTACATGGAGAATTGTTAAAACTAACCCCCAGGCATGGGCTTTTAAAAATGATAATTCGCAGCTCCATCAGAGCCGCAGTGTCGAGTTATGTGTTTTTACGCGGTTTTGTGTATCAATAAAGTGGTTAACAACCTTGTCAATTTTTTCTTCCACGTCTGATAAAGAGAGCTATCAGCTAAGCTGCTGAAGATGCAGCGTAGGTCGCATAAAATTTCAGCTCTCAACAGGATACCGATTGTGCAAATGAGGGATGTGGGGGTGCATAAAAACTCATTCTGCGTTTACGGGTCCGTACATAGGCAGTAAGTATTCTGGTACAGCTTTCTACTGAGTCTAACTCTTGAGCTAGAAGGATGCCGGCAATTTTGCAATTTTAAGCATCCGTATGCTGAATGCAGGCTTTTTGAAAGCTAATTTTGCCCTTTTAGAGCTGCACATTCACAAGTAAAGCCTCTGTACAACTTCACTTCTCAAATCTGCTAACTTACAAGAGAAAAGTTTTGGAAGCTGAACATTTGACATATCCGAAAGCGAGATAAAGACATAAAGAAAGCTCATTTTAAGTATTTAGAGAAGCGTAAAGAAAAAAAAAGTTTCCACACAAATAAGTAACTTCATACTCAGTCTTTTTATCAAGTTAAAAAAGTTCTTCCAGTGTTTCTACTTAAACTTTCACTTTACGCGCACGTAAGACCTAGGCGTCCCTCAAAGATAAACTTTTTAAAATCTTCAGTCCTGCAAGTTCAATAATTATTCTCTTAAAATGTCTGCTTTTTTGTTAATTTTCAAAATCTTTATCCCCAGAAACATCCTTAATATGTCCACATGCGTGATAAGGGCGTACGTATAGCCAGAATTTAAGACCTTCGAGTCATATATGGATAGAAAACATCGTGAAATCTCGGGTTCACGTCTTGTCCTTTCCCCAGAACCGTTTTTTTTTTTTTTTTTGCCAGAACTTTTTCGATTTCAGGTATCCGTGCGTGAAAAGATAACTGTGTTGGAAGATGATTTTATGTTTATAGGCCCTATTGACAACGGATGAGCATCGCGTATTACTGAGGTAAGCGCGAGGAAGTAAACGGTTACTTCAATGGCCTACGACAAGGTGATACAAGAGCACAGAATAGATGGCAGGCGATAGGTAAGGATATGTAGGTCGAAGAATGTAACATAACTGACACCTTGCGTGTGGAAGCATTCAATAACAGCACTGAATCGGGATCCTTAAGACAGCTGTTTTGGCATTCTTGGTATGCTCGATATGTATACAGGTTTAGTCGCCTTTAATTTTGCACTGGCGAAAGGGAACGTAACGATAAAGACAGATAAATGTAGTATCAAAGGTGTTCATTTCCGTAAAAACATAGCTTTTGATCATCCTGCAAACTTACGTTAGTGAAAACACCGGGAGGAACATCCAGCATTTCTGTTGCGCCATTTTCCTCATCATCCTCATCAGCACCAAGCCGCACTGCACTGAAACATAGCAAACTTCATCGAAAATACTTCTGGGGGAAAACGGAACCAGAAAGAAAACTCTGAAGTCCGGTCAAAATTGGCCCTCAACTCTCATAATCTTAATCATATCTGGCCGTTTTCCAACTGCTTCTCAACTTCTCAATCCTCTCTGCTGGCAGCATTGCCAGCAAAGGACTCATCGAAGCTGTTCTGCAGCTGTTCGGGCCAGCTGGAGTTCATTTAGTCATTATCATCATTGGGCCACTGTGTCTACGGGATCCGAACCCATGTCCTTAACGGCGATTTTAACTCCCTTCTGCGCTAAGCCATTACAGAACATGCCAGACAAGAAATTTTAACGGCACAACTTTCTTTTCTTGCGTGTCCTCAAATGCCATTTAAATCCGCATGGATTAATGATCCCAAAAGAAATCAGTTTCCTCAGTAAAGCACCGCTTACCTTATCGTCTTTGAGATCTTTTTATCTTCCGTTTTTTGGACATTCAGTGAGAAGGAAATTGGCCCTGTAGATGTTTTTTTAGCTGATGGGCTACCACTCGTTTCCCTTTCACTGGCACTGTTCAAAAGTGCAGGAGATGACTGTACTTTACTCATCTGCGCCATCTGCAAAGCAAAGTCGTATTAAAACAATGACAATATCGGTACCAAAATGTTTTTGCACTTTCCCAACTGACTGTTTTCCACCAACTCTCTTTGTTTTGATAATGCGTCACAGCTATTTTATAGCTCCTTCACTGCCCTACGAACTCAGTGTTATTGTTTTTTATAACTTCTTATCTTACTCAATTCTAAGGTTTAAATACTGGATCGTCAAGCTGACTAGAATAAGCATTTTCTTTTTTATCCTTTTTATGCGCTTTGCGCTGTGTAACAGCAGTAC